GGCTATAGAGGGGAGTGATATAGCCTATTTTTTATCCCGAAAAAAAAAAGTTCAGTTGCGCGAAACTTTGATACACCGGAACGCCTATAAACAGCCCGGGGCGCTCTAGAGCAGCTCTGGGGTGCTTCTTAAAATGCGTCACTGACCTCACTGGCAAGGGTTTGACCTGAATTTAATTCAGCTACTAGATACGTTAACACAACAAATAGATATTTAATAATTCAGAGGCGGTACGAAGTTCGCCGGGTCAGCTAGTTGGTTATAAATGTCACCCCCTCTCTCTTTTTTATTTGATATTTTAGAAAAAGTGTCTCAAATAAAAGTTTTATGATTGACATTGACTTTTTTGAAAAACTCACTTTCGCATATACAGAGTGCTTCAAAAACCCTGGTCGTGCTCCAACTCTCTAAATGGAATACTCTGTATATTATTGAATATTGGGATTCTACGTAAAATTCTGAGCAGATTTCATGTGATATAACCTATACCTATGTTCAACTGTTTTGGAAATATTGACAGTTTAAAATTCGTTTTTTGCAACTTCGACAGGCTGTGAAACATGAACGGGTAATTTTAGAGCAAAACCGATCTTACATTTTTGTGTTAGATTTTCATAAACTATCAGTTGACACCAATATTTAACACCAACTTTGAATTTAATCCATGATTGAAAATTCCAATTAAATTTAATCTCTAGTTAAATTCAAAATTGGTATCAAATGATAACTTATGAAAATCTTGGAAAAAAGTGTAAGATCGGTTTTGCTTAAAAGTTAACCGTTTAGGTTTTACAGCCTGTCAAAGTTGCAAAAAAGTCAATTTTCAACTGTCAATATTTCCAAAACAGTTAAACTTAGGCATATAGGGTATATGACATTAAATCTGCTCAGAATTTTACATAGAATCCGAATATTGAATAATATATAGGGTATTTCATTTAAAATAAGAAATTTGGAGCAGGACCAGCTTTTCTGAAACACCCTATATATGTAAGAATGAGTTTTCAAAAAATAAATCTTTTATTTGGGACAAATAAAAAAGATAGAGGATAGAGGGGGTGACGTTTATAACCAATAACCCTGTAGGTACAGGGTGAGTTACTATATTTTGACACCCACCTGCATCGGTAATTACAGGTGATAGGTGAAAGGTGAAAATACAAAAGATGTATAGTCCGACAAATACCATTTTAAAGTCACGTGATACTGGTGGCAAAAAACGTATGTCCATTGATTATGTCGTTGATATCACCTACAAAAAGCTACTGGTGGTTAATTACTATTGAATTTTAATATATGTTCCCACTAGCATTTTACAAACGCGTTTCTGAAGTAGTATTGACCAATCAGAGGGCAATTTTAATACTTGCAATTGTTGCGAGACTCACTTTTGTCGCATCTGCTGTCTGTTGTAATACATTCTGAACTTAAACTGGGTACCCGTTTTCTATTTGCTTCTTTTCGAGTTGGAAAAAGGTTAATATAGTCAAAATTATTAGCTGTGTTTGTTCGTTGTATTATTTTCGAAAATAACTTTGACAAACTAATTGATGACAGTGACGGATTCTATTTCAGGTAAGAATATTATGAACAATAATTAGACAGCAATTTTTTTCTCAATTTTACTATCACCGCTGTTTGAGATGTATTCAACAAGGATAGATAAAAATCACGTGACTTTAAAATGGTATTTGTTGGACTATACATCTGTATGCCACATCCTCTTTTAACTTAAAAGCGCTTTTTAAAACTGATACCTTTAAAAATTTGTATGGTTTAGAATACACATTTTTAAAAGTGACCAGTTTTGAAAAGCGCTTTTAAGTTAAAAGAGGATGTTGCACACATCTGGTAGCATTTTATCTGAACCACCAGAATTTTTAATTAGATTGAAAAAATAAGTAATACCAAATGAAAAAATATGTCAAGGTTCACTTTTTTCAAATGAAATGCACTTTATTTTCTTTCAAATTCTTAAAGTTCTCGTTTTTCTGATTCAGATTATATAATATATTAATGTTTATTTCAATATTTTCGGAAATATCTGAAGTTTGTTTATTCAAAGACGTATCAGAATGTTTTGTGAAAAGGTGATATGTAAATCAAGGTAAAATATATTCAAAAAACTACAGTTTTTGAATAACTAAACTCCAGATATTTCCAAAAGTATTGAAAGAAGCATTTACATATCATATAATCTGAATCAGAAAAACGAGAACTTTAAGAATTTGGAAGAAAATAAAGGGCATTTCATTTAAAAAAAGTGAACATCGACATATTTTTTTACTTTGCGTTGCTCGTTTTTTCATTCTAACTAAAAATTCTGGCGGTTCAGATAACACTACCAGCTGGTATGCAACATCCTCTTTTAACTTAAAAGCGCTTTTTAAAACTGGTACCTTTGAAAATTTGTATGTCTTAGAATACATATTTTTAAAAGTGACCAGTTTTAAAAAGCGCTTCCAAGTTGAAAGAGGATGTTGCATACAGATGTACAACTTTTGTATTTACACCTTTTACCTATCACCTGTAATTACGGCTGCAGGTGGGTGTCAAAATATGGTGACTCATCCTGTACATAGTACATACAAAATATTTTTTTTATTTTATATTAGTTAATGTTTTTGTGACTAAGCTTTTATTATTTTTGATTGGAATCCTTCTGAAATATTTGATATCGAATATTTTGAATCATTTAAAGTTCCAGTTAAATTTATTCAAGTATTACCGTTGATTGTATTACTCACCATTCTCATATTGTTCGCCAATTAACTGCACAAAAAACTAATATGTCTAGAATCGAAATTTTCGCGTCTCTGTTCAAACAAAATATTTCCTTATGACTGGGCAAGCTAAATTTATAAAACGTTGACTGCAGTAAAAAAAAATCGCGCTTGGGCGTCTTGCAGCAGATGCACAAAACTGTTAAAAAAAGTTGGCTTTATTTGCTTTTCTTTCTCAAACGCTTTTGCGTCAAGAAAATTTCAAGGAAGCTTTGATGCGCTTATATAAAATTTTCATGTAAGTAAATAAATGTTGAAGCAAGTACTTAGTTGTGATGATAGTTGATTTAAAAATTTATGGACGTATCAAATATTTCAAGTATTTATTTAATTAGTAGCGTTAGTTTCAAGTATTATTCTAATCTCGCAATTAAAATCTATAATTATTGGATCATAAATGCTGATAATCATATTATTTTGATAATGCATTATTGCGAAAATATGAATGAATGAAATAATTACTACCTGCCTACCCTAGACAAAAAGTACACTGAAAAAAAATATCACATTTTTCAAATTGACACCTCTAAAAGCAGAATTGGCGGCTCTAAAGTCTAATCTATGAAAGCAGGAAATACAATGATTAAGATTGCTACTTTGTTCCCCTTGCATTTTGCCATGAAATGATCAATAGATTACTTCTGCATATTTTATACTACAATAAAAACTAAGGTAATTTATTTTCCATTTTAGTATAGTAGTTTATCTTGTTATTGAGCTACTTTTGTATAATCCTTCTACGGTGAGTATAATTTATGTGAAACTAGTGTTCCTTATATGTGACAGGATAGCTCCAAGGATAGTTCCTAAGAATAAAAAAGTATTAAGTTATTATGGGGGATAGCCAAGAATATAGGCGTTAACAATACTATCTATTATACAGGGTGTCCTTATTAGATAAACTGGCACATTTTGCAGATAAATACATGTCTCGAAAACGAGAAAAGATAACGAGATTAGTATTGCCAAATCCTCAATTTTGTTGAAATTTGGTTTTATTGTCTGTCGTTTTTAATCTGATACTTTCCGTATGAGCAGCGAGGGGGTGAAGCATATGGCAATAACAGATGTGACGTCAGGTGACAATTGGCGTTATAATGTAGGTTGCCACCAGCTCACATTCCTTTGGAGTATCAGATTAAAATCGACGGCCTTTACAGACATGCGATTTTTTGAAATAAAATCACCTAGTGCCTTATTTTCATTGAAACACCCTGTATATTTTGTTATGGTCAGAAAGTCATTGAACAAATTTAAAAAAAGCCTGATTTTTCTACTTCTATTAAATCACCTGTGGAAGCTTCTGAAAAATACTTCAAGCAATCAGAGGGAGTTCAGACTTTTTATCAAACAAAACAAACCACGAGTGGATCTCAGGCTCAGAAATGGAATTATGAATTTTTTCTCACTTAGATGCAAAAACATCGATGATGAATTTGTGTTTGATTCTTTTATTAACTTATTAAAATCTGGACAACAAAGTGCAATTTAAACGACGCAATTTCAAGATAATTGAAAAAATATATAAATTATTGTAAGGTAGAAAAATCAGGCTTTCTGACGATGATAAAATATACAGGGTGTTTCATTAAAAATCAGGCAGTATTTTTATTTCAAAAAATATGTGTCTGTAAAACCACACTTCATCAAATTTTAGGATTCGGAAATACTATGATTTTTTTTTTTTAAATAATCCTTATTCTTAAACAGAACACACTGTATCTCGTTTTCTTTTCTCCTTTCTCAGTTTATCTAAGGGCACCCTGTATAACTTATATGAAAATAAAGTAAAAAATAGAGAGATTAGAAGTCAAAAGATAAGACATTCAACCAAAACTGATAGTTTTTATTTTGAAGTATATTAGAATTAAGACATTTATGTCTGTAAAATTTCCAGAACATCATAAATTCTATGGTTCATTTTTTCCCAAGATAGATTTTGACATTGTCAACTTTGAAACATAAACAATACTGCTTGGCCCTGATTGGTCGCAAAATGAGGTGTCCCTGCAGGTTGACATCTTGCGACCACTAAGTGGCATTGTTTATGTTTCAAAGTTGACAATGTCAAAATCTATCTTGGGAAAAAATAGACTGTAGCTTTGTCTAAATTTCAAAAATAATTTGTCTTTGTTTCGACGCTTCTGCCGATTTCATATTAATCCACCACTTTTTTAAGTTTAGATATAGGCTAATATTTCTTTATATTTGTTCCAGTTCCACCCATCATGTCTATTATGTTGGTTAAGTGTCCCTACAACCCCCTACATGTAATGCCAGAAGAAAGCTTGCAACGTCACATAGTGAAATGCATGAAAAATTATCCACAATGGGTCACTTGCCCTTATTTTGCCATGCATAAGTATAAATTAGGAAATATTTATAATTATAAATTCTACTGGATATTCTTTCTAGGTTCCCAAATGCTGACGTTCTTGGAAAACATTTAGGTCTTTGTCAATACAGAGAAATTGATATTTTCAGCAAAATAACACCAAAAGTTGAAGATTTGATTGACGATAAAGCAGAACTGAAAAACGAGCCTAGCCTGGATCAAATAAGAGCAATCAATTTTTCTGAAGAAAACTGGGATGCCGAGTACAACAATTAGGTTTCAACCTCTTGAAATATTATTTAAGGTGCTTTTTAGTATGTAGGTATATGTATTATTGCATAGTAGAAATAGAATTAAATGGACTTAGTAGATTTCAAACATTCATGTAGAATACTGGGAATTGTTTTTTTAAGCTCTGATCGGTCATGTTTTGCTGTTCTTACCCCAACAAAACTTTTAGCAAACCAGCAACAGAATAGAAACCGAAATAGTATAAAAAATACAGCTAATAATGTAATATTTAGCTATAGGTGGGTTGCTTTTCGTTTGTGCTTTGTTTCAATTTTTATACAAATATAATATTTTCTACCTTTACACTTTGCATTAAAATTCTTCATTCAAGCATGTTGTCAGTGGAAAACCGCATTCAGATGATACATTATTTGCATACTTTAAAGTTTGAAGAGAAATGGATAACGCAAGGCTAATGGGATTTGTGGGTTCTGATGGGATTTGATGGTTCAATGTCAACTGATTTTCTCCTGAAAGTTAGGCACAGAGTTTGTGAAACTATACATTAGTAATTTTTCTTTTGGCATGCTACTTGCATAAATAATTGTGCTCATAAATATTGAAAGTCAGGGAATTATTCAAATATACGAAATATGATTCGAAAAAAAAACATCCAGTTCTACCATATACAGAAAGATCTTGTAATTTTTCGCTATTTTGCGTAAATCAGTCTTTTCTCTACAATCGATTTTTTTGTCAAATATGACATTTCCTGTCATTGCCGTAGGTATAGCTGGTGAGCCCGTTTTACAAAAGGAAAAAACGAGTGTCCCACTTTTTGTGCTCACGACCAATGAACTATAACTAAAAACTGGAATGCGCACACATTGCCATATCTGTCAAAAAAATGAAGCCATGAAAGACAGATGCCACAAGGGGGAATGTTGTTTTTTTCTGTTGCTCGCTGACATATGACGGTTTCGAAAGTTTTGTCATATTTCCCTTCACAGGTTTCATCAATTGGAATACGTGTTGGAAGCAATTTTCGCCATTTAACATAATGAGTGCGACAAAAACAGGTATCCCCTCCGCAGCAGCCGCACTAGGCTTCAAGTTCGTCCTTATGTGTTAGCATTCCAGTTTTTGGTTATAGTTCATTGCTCACGACTGTACATAAAATGCCAAACTGAAACTTGTCTAAACGATGCCAAATTAGAACGTGTCAAAACAATGCCTGTATTTGTCAAAGTGACCGGCGTACTAGAACCACGATGACCAACGTGAGAGATGCAGTGACGTCACCGCGTGTTTCAAATTAGGAGTATTTTGATAATTTATTTAAATATAAACAAGGGCTCGGAAAATTATGAAATTTTGCACAACTGCTAAACTCAACACGCTCTTTCAGAATATGTAATAAGAAAAATATGCTGTACGAGCCTATTTTCTCGCAAATGGTGCCAAAAAACATAATAAGTGACATTTAAAAAAATTGACTTTTTGATCATTATTGATTTCGATGTTTCACCTGCACCCATTTGGAATAAAATCGGCGCACTAATGACACATTAGGAGTTAGCCTGAACTTTCAGCTAATTATCTTCTAAATTTGGTTTATTATTTTAGAACGGTTTTCGAGAAACCTTGTTGTTTGTAAACAACTGCAGCGGCAATTCAAAACTAAAATTGACATTTATGTCAAAAACTTGGGTGGTCTAAACTCAATATTGCAAGGCCAACCGAACTACATTATGATGAAAAAGATATATGCGAGTTTCTATTTGGAATAAGAAAGTTAGTGCTTACATTTAGTATAGTTTTTACGAAGTTACTTCGACCAGACCTAAAATAGTTGTCTGGTCAATATACTGCATCACATATTGAAAAATAGAGCAAAATTTATACTGATTTGTCCTCGTACCGTTGAAAGCCAGGCAACTAGAGATAGATAGATCTGATTGGCTCCTTGTCGCGTTCGATGCCAGTTAACGTAGAATGGATATATCTGATTGGCCATTGCCGATTTTGGTTGGCTGACATACTGTTTCTGTTCATGCAGCTTTGTGGGGCGATATGATTGTCAGTGCGAGAGACGAGAGACAGTGCAGTGCATTACCTACTCTAGTTTGTTCGATTAATTTATTGATTATTAATTTTAGTAGTGCTTTTTGAAATTACGCCGCCCAAGTTTAACAAATAAAAAGCCGACTTATGCCGGGATTGTTTTTATACTATGGTTGAACCAAATCCAAGCGGCAGTAAATGACAAACTGGTCATTTTCATAACAACCTATCAAATGTCCTCCGTGCATGCGCACTGGTCCAGGTAGGGCGTTTCAACCAATAGGAAGGATGGTGTTTGTTTATAATTTGGGTTATTTAATGTCATTTACTTCTGCTTGGATTTGGAAATGGTGTAGTCCAAGTGAATTCGTATAGACGTTACACCCTGTATAGTTGAATATCTGAAAATATCTTAGATGACACAGGAACAACTAATTATGGCTATAAACAAAATTTGAAGTTTCTATTCCCCCTGCAAGCTCAAGAACTTATAATGCACGGGCTACGTGAATCACCTTCTACCTATACATTTGTGAGTGACCCATTAGCATTTTAACTGTCAATCATCAGTTTATCGTATATTTTTTTTTTGGAGAAAAGTTAATCTTTTGGCCCCATTTAAAGGTTGTTTAAAATTAAATCCTCTACGAGGTATCAAAAAATTGGCAAAATCCATAGAGCTCTAGAATTCCATGTTAAGGTGTGTTCTCACAGAAATCACAAACCAGTCAGAGCATTTCTGATTGGTCCAAATCGCCAATAACCAGTTTCCCGACTATTTTCTACCAATGACATTCGCTCTGACTGGTTTGTGATTACTGTGAAAACAGCGAAGAATCCTAGATGTTTCATCGCGTATTTCCTCCGCAGTGGTTTGAGGTAATGCGCGTATGCTGGCTTCCACATTTGCTATGATGTCTTCGAATAGCAGGTCTTTGTGCGCGTTCACATTGACACCGCTCGAGCGGTGAGCGTTGCGCGATGCCGCTGTAGCGATGCCCAAAAATAATTTTAACATTATATTTCGAATGAACATGTTAACACCGCGCGACGCACCGATCCAGTGTGAACATGTTCATTCGAAATATAATTTTAAAATTATTTTTGAGCATCACTACAGCGGCATCGCGCAGCACTCACCGCTCGAGCGGTGTCAATGTGAACGCGCACTTTCGGTGTTATTGCAAAATTGCCTCCTTTTCTTAGAACACTGGAATAGTCAGAATGCATTGGGTCAGGTTGACAACTGTGCGATCATTGCTTGTAAGTTTCGCAGTGTTCAATGGTTTCAAGGACTCAAATTATTTACCAGTGTCTTGGTTGTTTTTGCTAGTGTGGCTTCCATTACGTCATACGTCATTCGGTCAATTATGTCCCAGTCACTGCAATGCATGCTGTTCGATTACCTTTGGTTTATCGATAGAAGATCCTTATTCATAGTTGGTAGGTCTTTCCTTGTTTGGTAAATCCGTTCACGAAACACGGCTCGTTCAAAAAATTCTTGATTGGGAGGAATTTAATAATTTTTCGAATCTTCAGGAATTTCGGAACGACTTTCGAGTCTCTGCATCTTTGGAGAAAAGCAAGGGAGCCTAGAGAACGGGCCTTTTTCTTGCGTAATTCGTAAGTTCTGCAAGCGTCGAATAAGTCGTGGTGTTTCCTCCCCGTAGAGGCGTTTAAATAAAGAATGAAGGCTTTCACGGACGGTCAAATCTTAATTAACGTTAGTAGAAACTTCGACCATTGAACACACTCTCTCTCTAGACTAATAACGATAATAATGTGCTATAGAATTTGTTTGGTTCCAGAATGAGACCAGGCCCTCTTTCTCGCACTTATGAAAATATAATGTGTATAAACCAGTCTGTTTATGTTTTGGGTATCAGAGAGCTGGGGCCCAATTCTCGAATCACGATTTCCCAATGTCGCGTACGAGAATCGCATATCTCGATACCTTTTGGCATAATCCAATTCTCGAATGTCACCGTCGCCTTTTTTTGATCGACATAATTACATCTATGATAATTACGAGTGGGTAAAACCACGCGAAATGAAATCACGAAGTGTCAATTTTATTTATTTTTGTCATAATAATGGCTGATTACGAAGAAATCGAGTTTTGCGATTCAAGTAGAAAATAATAGATTTCCTAGGAGATTCTATGAGTACAGTAACGCGTTCAATTGTATGTCCGAGTGCCTTTTTGTGAAAAACTTTCGATCCGGGTTAAGCATAATTCCAGGGTAAACATAGCAACTGGACACGCCTACCCTAGAAATAAAACCAACTCGAAGGTGATTCGCCATTGAGAAAAATAAAGGGATAATACTAGGGCTTCTTCAATTTCTATTGAAGCCAATGTAAGCATGTTCGCTTTTTAAAGAACTTTGTATATTCCCTTTTTTTCCATTACTTTACCACAAATTGTAATCGTAATCGCACAAAATAGGACCTAGAACTTATATATTTTTTCACCAAAAACTCCACTTTCATTTGAAAGATCAAAAATTATGCCACTTTATAGTTGTCAAAAACATGCCAATACTATAAAATTAGATGTTGCCATGTTTAAACATTCGACAATTGTCAAATGCGTCATTTAAATTCGCATACCGACCGAGAATAGAGTTTAGGATTCGCGTTCGACATTCAGATGCGTGATTTGTCGATTGCGAGATTCTGAGTCGTAACTGGAGAATTGGGCCCCCTGCGTTCGAAAACCTGGTTGTTGGTGTGGAAATTATTTCAGGGAGTGTATCTTCAAAATGTGAGCTTAAATTTCACTCTAGAGAGTATTCGGTGCGCACATCAATACGTGTCAAACACCCTTCCGAACGCCCGAACGGCAGCTGTGTGATTTTTATACGACACACCAGGTTCTCGAACGCAGTCAGCTCATTTCTCACAAGAAAGTTGAGAACACCATGAGAACACAAAACAATTACTACATTATTGCCAGACTGTAAAATCTTTCTTTATATTAGAAGTAGGTACGTAGTTCCATTTAAAACCAAATTGAGTCGTGATAAAAGGTATTGTTGTTTTAGAATTATTTTAAGTATAGACTTAAAAAGTCGCAAGTATATTTTTAATATTATTATAAGCAGACAAATTTGAAATAGATACTTTTCGATAGATGACGATATTCATTATTATCGAGATTATTATTCGAACTGGAAAAAATTCGGCAACAGGGCCTTTTTTCGTTTTGTTTATCGGATGAATCACCCCTCTGACCCCGCTACCTCATTATGGAACAAAACAAATATGCTTGTTGATCCCTCTAGCAGTTTAAAGCTCGATGGGTAGAAATAATACTCGACCAAGGCATTAAGCCCGGAAAAATAGTATATTACATACCGAGTAGGGAAGTGTTTCATTACTGTCGAGTGATTTATATAGTCAATCGAGACGCGAAGCGTCGAGATTGACTATTAATCTCGAGACAGAAATGAAAACTTTCCTCCGAGGTTTATATACTATTTTATTTGCAAGCACACCATTAATTATAATTAGTCATTTCATTTTTTCAAAATTAAGAAAATAAAACAAACATGCCAAAATGTGTCATTCATTGTTTTGACGTTTTTACCTGACATATTCTCATTGTTGCCAGCAAAGGTAAATGAATTACAGTGAGGGAAATCGGTGAGGGAAGTCGAATAGGGAAATCGGTGAGGGAAATCGAAGAGAGAAGTGACACAGGTAAACAGGGCCGTAGCCAGAGGGGGGCATTGGGGGGCAATGCCCTATCTTTTAAATGGTAATGCCCTACCTTTAAAAATGCAATACCGACTTTTTAAAAATTTGGAAGTGACACTTTACCTGTGTCACTTAGTCACTTCCCTCTTCGATTTCCCTCACTCTAATTTATTTACCTTTGCTGGCAACGATGAGAACATTTCAGGTAAAAACGTCAAAGCAGTGAATGACACATTTTGGCATGTTTGTTTTATTTTTTTAATATTGAAAAAATTGATTGACTAATCATAATTAATGGTGCAAATAAAATAGTATACAAACCTCGGAAGAAAGTTTTCATTTCTGTCTCGAGATTAATAGTCAATCTCGACGCTTCGCATCTCGATTGACTATATAAATCTCTTGACAGTAATGAAACACTTCCCTACTCGGTATGTAATATACTATTACTAAATTACGCGAATTTTATTAGTTTAAAATAGCCAGAAAACTGTTTGTTGGCGATTTGCACCAATCAAAAACGCTCTGACTGGTTTGTGATTTGTGTGAACCTAGGTCCTGTTTTCAGTAGTAATAGCCCAAGGACATTGATAATAGAAGATTTCATTATGAATGACTTTGGCAGAAAGTCGACAAACAAAGTCACATAACCTATAAATAGCATTGTCAATGTTATTAATTTTTTTTCAATTTTGGGCTTAAATTTAATAATTATGGCAGTTTTGGGAGAACGTGATATATTTTATCGAGAGGCGATGAAGCGTTGTGTGTTTGGCGATTGTAAAAGTGATAGTCGAACGAGTTCCATTAAATTAACGACCCCATTTGCCTCTACTGGAGTTTTAGGTAACACAGCACCTGTCACATCACTTTCTGTTAATTTTATCAAACGTTTTGCAACCAAAGAAGCCATAGCGAATGCACCGAATACTTACGAAAGCGTAGATTTGACAAGATGCTGTGTTACCTTAAACTCCAGTGGAGGCAAATGGGGTCGTTAATTTAATGGAACTCGTTCGACTATCACTTTTACAATCACCAAACACACAACGCTTCATCGCCTCTCGATAAAACATATCACGTTTTCCCAAAACTGCCATAATTATCAAATTTAAGCCCAAAATTGAAAAAAAATTAATAACATTGACAATGCTATTTATAGGTTATGTGACTTTGTTTGTCGACTTTCTGCCAAAGTCATTCATAATGAAATCTTCTATTGACCGAAAAAAATTTATAGCAGATTTCGAAAGCTTGTTGTCTGAAAACAGACCGACGCGCTAGCGGAGGTCTGTTTTCTATAAGCAACAAGCTTGAGAAAGTTGTTATCGGATAGAAATTTTTTTGACAGCAATGTCCGTGACAATGTCATTGAGTGAAAACAACCCATGGGCTGTTTTCAGTATAATTTTGACATGATTGGGTGATTTGTGTCACATGACAATAAATAACAAAATTCAACTGGCTGTTAGAACTGTCAAAAAATTTTCACAGTAATCACAAACCAGTCAGAGCAAATTTCATTGGTAGAAAATAGTCGAGAAACTGGTTTTTGACGATTCGGACCAATCAAAAACGCTGTGACTGGTTTATGATTTCTGTGGAAACCTCCCATGGTCGCGCGATCAAACCGGAAGCGACAGTCGATTGTTATTCTGCTGAAATTCTGCATCAAAATCAATAGTAATTTATATCGATATCGACTTCCATGCCTAAGCTCAGCTAGAGCTTGGTAAGCAGTGTTGGTAGATCAGTGTAGTTGAAATTCCCCATACAAGCGCAGAAAAGTCCCTAGATTGGTATATAAATCCCTAGTTTCAGAATATATTCTATTTTCCCTATTTGTACGCGCGAGAAAGACATATTCGAACTATGCAAGCAACCTGCAATAGAGATTGTTTTTCTTTTCTCTTTCCAACACATTGTACTAAGCGGCATAAATGGTGATTTTCATTATGATATTGTTATTTTATATAAATAAAATAGTTATTTATGCAACAAGTGTGTAAAGTGAACCTTTTTTCACGAATGTGTGAGTGAAAAAAGGTGCTTTACGCACGTATTGCATACAAAATTTTTTCTACTACCAATCAAATATGTGTAAAAAAATAAATTTTGACAAATACTTTATGTACTAGTGCGTGAAGAATTTTCACTTTATGCACTAGTGACACTAGTGTGTGAAGTAATTTACCAGAAAAATGCCAAATTGACAGTGTCAACAACTGTCATTGACATTACTTTACGCACTAGTGTGTGAAGTGAATTACTTTACGCACTAGTGCGTGAAGTGAAATTTTACGTCTTCTGAATAGTGCGTAAAGTGAGTACTTTACGCACGGTAGTAGAAAAAGTATATTATGTATAAAAAATCTTAAACTATTCTATTTTGTGCTAAAATATTACGGAAGTATAAATTAAAAAATTCTTAAATCTGGTATAAATTTACCGTTTTCTCTAATTGCTGAAAATGTCCCTAAATCTAGGCGGAAATTCCCTAATATACCATGACTGTTGGTAAGTAATATCATGGCCACCTATCCCGGTATATTAAATTAAACTCAATATAAAGTAGCACCATTATCAATTGAAAATCGCAACTCTATGGTGAGTATTCAAAATTAGAAAAATACCCCTTATAATAATATAAAATAATTTTTATATTTTTATGCCAAGTCCTGGTACACTATAACAAAGACGCCGCACGCCGGCAAAAAAACTTGAAAATTATCGGCGTTGCCGCTAGGCTTTATCGCTTCCCGACAAAGGTGGGCCGCTTTTGTTGACAGTGTGAGATATTCGCTTTAGAAGTGGACAAAAGTATAAAATTACACAGATAATTGATTAAAAATCAATTTCAAATTTGAATTTTTAAAAAAGGAATAATATTCCCATTCAAATATTTATATTTGATTGATTTCAATAGTTTAAAACGGAATTTTAAGGATTACTTACTATATGAATTTTGCCCATTTATTTATTGTATTAATTCCACTGTATCCTAGAAGTAAATCAGCTAGAATTTCTGGGCAATGGCGTTCGTCATTTCAGTTTTTATAGAAATATCTGGAGTATGTTTATTCTTTATTAACCAATTTGTTTTCATTTGTCATAATAATAATATTTAGACGCCTATGGATTCCCACGTGACTTCAAAGAAATCAACTGAGCCACCTTTTTTATGAAGTTTCAATTAATAATGGTTAAACTTTACCATTTTCGTTTGGCCTTCTTTGAGGAATTGGAAAACGAAGAATACTAGCAGTTGCCAAAAATTTAGGATTTTTTTTCAGGATTGAATTATAGGGGTCCATGCATCATGTACTAGGGTGTTAAACCTTGCTTTCCAGTATGAGAAGCTTTTTCTCAATAATATTGTTTACCTTTATTCCTTCATGTGGGAAATTATGTATGCAGTAAATAGAGAAATTAAGTAGGTATATGTAGTTTAAATACCATTGAAAATGGACATGGTTCGCATGAATAAAAACTTTGATTTACCAAAAGCGACAGGAGAGCCTGCTGGTTCGGAAAATGCACTTTCGCGGTGAAAGTAGGGTTGAAGAAAAAAGCTTTTAAATTGGATTAACACTCACTTGAAATTTTCTGGTAACTATCCTCCAATTGCCGCGCTTGTTCTCTCTTCTCACTTTCAGTTCTTTTGACATGATCTCTCAGTTCCTTATTGGTATTGTGGTATTTTTCTTTTTCAAAGTTGCTGTCCGCCAATAATCTTCGAACATCAGTCAATTCTTTTCTCAGGCACTCTGAATTGTTTTCGACTAAAAGAATAAATACACTTTACCGATTAATGCCTAGTTTTGATAGATACTGTATATACCTTCTTTAAGTTTTCTAGTGGTTTCGTGTAGCAAATTACTAATACTTTCGCCTTTGTCTTCACATAAATGCAATTGGACTTTGAGGTTTTCCACTTCGTTTTGTGCATTGTCTCTTTCGTTGCGGATTTCTTCAATCTTCTGTTGCAGTGCAATTTTTTCCTCCTCGTTCCTTGTTTTGGCTTCTTCCAATCGTGCCTATAATACACCACCATAATTAATATATATTTTTTTAACACGTGCCTGTGTATAATAAAGCTCACCCTAAATCTGCTACGGCCAAAACAATAAATAAAAACTACGTTCAACCAATGATAAAAAAACGCTACACCAACAACTTCAATTGTGATCATTTTTCTATACTTAATTAAATCACCTTAAACTTGTTCAGTTCATCTTTGAGTTGATTGATGATGACACGGTCTTGATCGAAACGTCCGTTTGCTTCGCGCTTGAGGCGCTCAAGGGTTTCGCGTTCTTCTCCTAGCTCTCGACGCGTAGCTTCTAGTTTATCGTGAAGCGCTTTTTGGTCATGATGAGCTAAAAATTAATGATAATTTTTGTGGTTTTTTTTCAAAATCCATCAGGCTAATTTACAGAGAGAATCATAATGTAAAAATAAATGTCTGACAAATATTATTTTTTTCAAAACAAACAATAGAATGAACAACGTACGTCCAAGAAAAATACGTTTTTGGGATAATAATTATTTCAAAATTTCAAATAATAGAGGTGATGATATCATTACTTTATTTTGTGTTAACGGGTTGACGCGTTTCTAAAAATATTGTCCAGCAATAAAAAAAAATTATATTCCAAAAGGTTGTGGTGGTTCGAGTAAGATTTCCGATTTTTGATTTTTTAGCCATTTGCATTTGGGTTAATACATTAAACTTATTTGATTTTGAAGAGATTGTAAAGAAATGAGAATCATGAATTGTTATTCAAGGTAGTAATTTCCAATTCCAATCGTCATGTTTCAAAATTGATCAATACGAATTTTTTGAAGGTAACAGGCAGCGTGGCCGAGCGGTCTAAGGCGCTGGTTTTAGGCACCAGTCCGAAAGGGCGTGGGTTCGAATCCCACCGCTGTCATAATTTTTTGAAAATTTTTTATTTCATAGGAAAATAAATAATATACATAGGACCATACCAATCCTTTAATGTTTGGGAAGGATTTTTTTCGAGATAGGAACCATCTAAAAGTCTTTTTTCCTAGCATTTGCTAAAGAGATCAAATAAGCTGAGCTGAATAGATAGAGAAGATGGAATATTTTAGGCAACTCGAGGGGGATAAAAATAAAAATCATTGGCCCTAATATAGGTATTGAACACAATTTTATGTTCAGTTGGATTACAAATCAGATTTGGGGAAGAAAAGGAAAAATCCACCATAGGGTTGGTTCGTTAAGGACAAGGCGGATGACCTGAGGCGAATCTATATCTTGCCCGCAAAAACTTATATCGAAAGGAGAGGTATTTGAATGAAAATTTCTTATATACCCTTTATATACCCAATGATTCGAAATTTCTCTATTTTATCAGGGTTGGCGGTTTTCATTGTCAGATTTTATTATTTAAAAATTTCTGTGAGCCATTTGCTACTAATCTAGGTACTTTTCTGTGCTCAAAACTAACCTTTCTGAATCTTGTTATCCAGCTGATAAACTTATAAAACAAATACATACATCAATTATTATTAATCTAATTTAATTATTAACAATAATATGACACTGATCACCATTCATAATTTTTTTTTTAAATCAAAACAGAAATATTGATTTGAAAACTAAGCGGACACTTATCAGCACTGATCGCCGTTTCAATAACATAGGTATTATACTTTGTCGTTTATCAATAAACAATCATTTATTCACAAGCCAGAAGAAATAATTTTCTTTCCCGCGCCAAACTTCAAATTGCAAGGAAAACAAAATACGCGCGTTCTAAGTACCTATTGATGAAAATACGTTTAATCTCGTGTGAAATAAAATTAGACGCAACTCGTTTGCCTAATATCAACAGCGCGGTGATGATATCACAGGTTTAATTCTATTTTAATAAATGAAATCACCGAATGATGGACTATTTAAAAGAAAAATATGATAAAATTATGCTTATTTTATGCTTCCCACAAATTTCGTTGGCATTGTTAAAGAGAAAGTGATAAATTTAATTTGAATAATTTGTTTTTTTTTGTTTACTTTATACATAGTTTTCATTTCGAATATTAATTTCTTATACCAGTCATTTAGTTTTTCGAAAATGATTTTAGTTGTTGACCCATCAGCACTGAACAACGCATTATTTGGATAAAATATGGTGTTTTATTTTCGGTGATTACTTCATTGGAAAATATAGGTACCCTACATTTCAGTGTGACAAAAAAAATCATTCTGTTGTTATTTCTGCAATGAAAATTCTATTTAAAACAAGTCCCGCTAACTATGAGATAACTACGATGTCGTATGGATAAGAAGAAATATTCAAAAAATATATGGAATACTCTGTTTGAATTATTAAGTTATTGCAACCAAAGTTGAAAACTTGAGAGGCAAGACAATCATCATCATCGTTGATCATTTAGCCTTGGTTCGTCCACTGCTGAACATAGGCCTCCCCGAGACATTTCCATTTTTTCCTGTCCTGTGCGGTTGTTATCCAGTTGGTGCTAATCGTTTTCACATCATCGGTCCACCGTGGCCTCGCTTGTTTGCTCTTGGTCGCCATTCCAGGATTTTCTTGGTCAATCCTACCATCGTTTAATCTTGCAATATGCCTTGCCCATCTCCATTAAGCTGTTGTTATTCACTCCAGAACATCATCAACCCCTGTGTCTCCTGTTTTGTTATAAATGGCGTCATTTCGTATTCTATCTCTGAGACTTATACCAAGCATCGAGCGTCCCATTTTACGTTGCGTTTTTTATAGCTTGCATGCTGATGTATTGGTCAGGGTTAGGGTCTCCGCACCGTAAGTGAGGGAGGACGCCCATGTTGAAAGGTTTTCGTTTTAGTGTAGTTGGGACATCATCATTTTTGAAGACATCTCGAAGTCTACCATAATAATATGTTGCCGATCCCAATGTTATTCATCTCAGTAATTCTGCTGTTTGGTTATCTCTACCAATCCTGACTTCGTGACCCAGATATATGTAGCTTTGCACCATATATCTCTCTCGTTGTTATCGACTTCTATAAGGTTGTTGGGGACTTAATTAGTCATCATTTTTGTTAATTGATCTCCAGTCCTATCTTTTTGTGTAGTTTCTGTCAGTATTGGATCATAATATCAGCCTCTCGTAAGTTGTCGGAAATGAGAACAATATCTGAGGTGGCTAAGTCTTTCCCCATCAATGTTAATATCTCTGTTCTCCCACTCTAAGTTTTTAAAAGTAGGTATGCCCTAGGAAGATGATGAATAGTTTGGGCGACAGAGTGTCACCTTGTCTCACGCAATTTAATTTTTTTTGTAGGGGAGTATAAGTTGACCGTTGTTGTGCCGTTTTTGTATAATATTCGTTATAATATCTGAGTATCAATAATCGATTCGGCATTCGTTTAATGCTTTCATGATGGAATTCAATTCGACTGTATCGGATGCCTCATGAAAATCGACGAAGATGAGATCAAGAGGTCTGTGATTGTAGTCCTTTGAAAGGGATAAAATTCATTGAAAGTTTCAGCTTTTTATCTATAATAGAAAAAAAAGTTATGACCTTTCAAAGTTTTCCAAAATCTAAATCATAATTTTTCTCAAATTTGAAGCCGAAAACTTCGCTATGGTTTAGCTTAGCTTTCGCTTAGTTTCGCTATATAAACGAAAATTACAGAATTCCCTAGCTGATCTTAGTTTAGGCTTTCGAGCTGCATCAACGCTATCAATATACAACTGGAACAGTCTACACATTGATCTTATACTATGACGAAACCTATAATTTGTTAAAACGTGTTATTAATTAACCGAACAGAGATATTCATTTTATGAGTAAGCGACCCTATACAATGTATAATCATAAAAAAATGACTTTCCGAGCACTCACATTTTATACAAAAAATCACATTTGCTTTCCTACCAATAGTTAAAAGATCCCTGATTTGACAGTAGTTGGGCAAAGTGCGACCCAAGTCTAAACACAGTATGACGGAGTCTTTTTCTGTGTAATTTACTAGCAGTGGGAAAACACTTTTGGATATGACATGCGCTGTAGCGCCGTTAGCAACATATCCAGAAACCTTAAACGAGTCGCCGAGGTAGGTTGAGAGTCGAAAGGAATAGTTTTTAGCGCTACTGTCACCATATATTAGAACATTTGTTTTTTGTTGATCTCTACAGTTAAACAATATGTCCGTGGTTACATTGCGTTTTGAATTTGTGTTGTTCATCGCTGAGAGCGATGTGGGCATATTCAAACGCTTTTCCGCATTAGAAATTCTACTCGTTTGAGACATGAGGAGATCTGGATCCGCAGTAACCCCTGCAAAATCTGCAATAAGCCTTTCTTTGAACTGTGATACTTCATTTAGAAAGAGGCAATTCTCCGCCTCTAGAGAACTTATTGAGGTCAGCATGGATCGGTTTGTTCTGTAATTTTCCAGGCTTGTTTTATATCCTTTTTTTTATGGAGTAATATAGGTCGTAGTCGAGTTATTTCATAAGGTTAGGATATCCTGGTTGCACAGGCACAAATTGAAAAGTTCCAAGATTTTATTCATCAAAGTTAGCCCACATTACTAATACGAGTAGGTTGTTGTTGTTTGTTTTCACCCTTTCGAGCCCATACTCAACACTGCAGCCTTAAAGGCGTTTTGTATCTCATTGTATGGACTCTACTCCTTTCCATTCATACTTGCAGATTAGATGATTGACGGCAGCGCAGGCGATCTACCCGACCCGTACTACTGCGGTCACCCATCCAATCTCCATCCCGACACCACGTTGCTTGGCTTTGAGTAGGGCGTCCTGTCGTTCTTTATCAAAGCGCCAACGTGCCGGCTACGAGTAGGTAATGTCTGCCCAGCGACTCTGTGTCTACGGGGCAACGGTAAGGGGAATGCAGTTGTAAAAAAAAATGTCTGATTCCATTCATAAAATACCCAGCTGCGTGCGGATTTTTTTGGAAGTGTTATCGTATTGCAACTCCTACACGAAAATCGAAAATGACCAAACCCACGCCACTGGATATTTCAATATAAATCGATATACCAAGATGGGAGGATACAATGACAGAAGCCCTGGCCAATAGCGAGACGTAAGGTGACGTTTAGTCCATTGACAACGACATGGTTCCTCGTGGCAACGGCCATCCTGCCAAAAACTCCACCAATCAGGTTCATCCAGGCCGGATGCTTGCCAAATTGTCAAAAACTGATGGTATCTTTAGAAAATGTTTATTTTTTACAATGGACAAAATTGAAGAAATCAGTTATTAGAATAAGAATAGATCTAACAACCACGTTGAAACTTTTAGCGTTTTATTGGTATCTATATTTTGTTATTAAAAAATGGATTTTCAAATGAACTATACTTCATGCCTAGTATTTTCGCTTTTTTATAATTAAACGTGACAACATGGCACATTTACGTCCGAATTCCTTCCGTAGACTCAGATCCGCTGGGCAAACAATAGTTAAGTACTTATAAATTTTGTAAGTGTTCATCAAAAGTTTTTATCAAGTTCCCCTGAGTAACACATCGTTCAGGTAGACAAAGCATAATCTCCACGTAAGTCTCCCAATACGATTTCCATCCGCCTTCTAAAAGTAGCGGGGGCGCTACAGAGTCCAAAAGGCATGATATGTGTTTTTCGTCAATGCCCACCTGCCAGTATCTGCTTCAAATACAAAGCATATGAAACCAATTTGGGTGAGCCAAAGTCGTGAGGGTATCGTCAATTCTGGGTAACCGGTACGGTTTTCCTTAGTGACATTTTTGAGTATTGAGCTTTCTTTAATCGACCCAAAATCTGGTAGATCTGTCTTTTTTGGTTACCAGTGGAATTAGTGATGGCCTCTACAAGCATATACTATCCAGTACTGACTTCCTGTTTGGTCATGGAAAGTCTTATGGGCGGTTGACGGATCGGATGAGCACTGCCAGGATCGATTACATGTTCATGCTTGATAATGTCTGTCTTACCTGTTTCGCCCTTTCTACCCTCAAAGATATCCTTCGCACAAATGAATTGTTGAGCCATTACTAAGATGTCTCCAATTTGTCTCGGAATGTTGCTAGATTTATTTCTTTTCTTTCCCTGATGTTCTTCAGCTTCACACTTTGGAATCCCTTTGACATGCTCGTAGGTGGCTATGACATCGTCCTTGTTGATTTGGAAAATGTTGTGGTAATGTTATTAAGTTACTATTTTTGTATCAGTTTTGGTTCCAAAGAATAGATGACTATGGAATGTTTCGGAACTTGAAAAAAAAGTTTTATCGTAGATTGGACTGTGTTGTTTATTCTGTCACATTCTGGACAAACATGCAAATTTGAATTATCGGATTTGTTTTTTGTGTGTATTGGTAGTAGGTTAATTAAAATGCCAGCGATTTGCATCGTAATTGGGTGGAAGTCGAAGTAAAAGGGATAATGTGAAATTTTATTCAGTTCCTGCTATTTTGAATCATCGGCTTTTCACCTACAATACCTCAATTTTTCCTTAATAATATCTTAAGATATTCACTCTCCATCTCAGAATTTATTAATAAATTAAAAAATACGTAGAAACACTAAACACTATAAAATTCACCACTTTGAAAACAACAAGGGCCAGAACACTAAAAAATATGTAGAAATACTAAAGACACTATGAAAACACTATGAAAACAACAATGGCCAAAACCAATAAAAAATACGTAGAAACCCCAAAGACTATTTTTTTTTAAATGAAATTGACTTCGAAAGCAACAAGGGCCAGAACACAAATGCTTTCATTATGAACGTCGCCGGCTTGTCACCGCAATATTTGACCCATGATTTGACCTGAACTAATCTACTAGTTATCCCGCCAATTATGTCATCATTTAGCTTAAATTTATATTATTAACATAAATAATTTCACTTCTGACACCGTTTTCACGAATTCCGCAGGTCTACTAAGGCCCGGTTGTATATATTTCAAGTTCAAAATGCTGACAGAATGCCAAAGTGTAAATTTGTTGGATAGTTCAACTGAACTACTATTTTAACTTGGAATGTACCTACATAAAACCAAAACCGCCTCTAAGATTCTCTCACTGATAACAACAACTTTTATGGAACTAGTAGACTTTACAAAATTCACTTATCGTTGTAACTTTTTACAATTCCCTCATTTGAAGTCACTGTTTAACTCAAAACTTTAAATACGAAACCAGTCGAAGCAGTAAATCGTAGAATTCACCATTCTGGCAAATTCTTGCTAATGGAACAGATTCCTGAATATTCCCGCCACAGTGGTATCGACTCTTCCGCATAATATATTTTTGTAAGAATGATGATAATTCATGTTTACAACAAATAGCTTGTTAACAACAAAAGTATCAAAAGAATGGGGGCAATATATTACGATATTACTACCACCATAAAACCCCACTAAAACAGAAATAAATCCAAAAGTTATAGAGCACTAAGCAGCTGCTTCGGGACAATTATGGAAAGCATGTTGAAAAAAAGATCAAATGGAAAATCAAAAGAAACTTTCCAAAGCACAAATAGGCTTCTGAAGAGGGAAAGGCACACGAGTGCATAACAAACTTTATCACATTATTACAAGAGACTTAATATTTAATACATAACAGAAAATGATCTGTTATAAGTATGGCAAATGGGCCTGGCGACTTTTCGTAATTTGAGATAAGCCATATTGCCTTTCTTCCAAATTTCATGATCTACTTTATTGAATGTAGAAGATTTATGACACAGGAAATGACTCGATTGATCTGTCAAGATAACCTGGATGTTGTGAAAGAATGATTACATGAAATTTCTCAATTTTCATTTCATCTCTGGCTGAAAACTATACAGAGTGGTTTCGAAACGGTTTTTGACATGTTTGAACAAACCTTGTGTATTACTATCAAAGTTTCACTGTGCTTAATTTTTTTCGAATATACATAATTTGTCTTCTTCAAAAGGTATTCTTGCACCAAAGACAAAACCTGCACACTAGAACCAAAGCACACAAATTAGATTTTACATGAATGCTTCTTTAGATCCTGAAATTAAAGAAGGAGAACTTGGAGTAGCCTTCTTAGAATTGAACGTCAAAAATATTCTTAGGCCCAAATAAGGAGGCATACTAAGAGCATCCCAATAGGAAAAGTTCATTCCTTATCAACCTTAATTTAAAATGACAGAAGGATAATGTAAGCTATCTTAGGCCCGGTTGTACAACGGACGTTCAACCGAAGTTCACAGTGACTAGTGGTTCAAAGGAAAAAACTCATTGTATGTACATGTCGGTTCAGACTGTGAACTGAGGTTAAGCGTTATTACTAACCTATAAGTAGGGCTTGTTGTTTATCATTTTCGGCTCTTAACATCAGTTCTTCATGTTGCTGACACAAATTATCAATATGATTCTGTAAAGCCTCTATTCTATCAGCTAACTGTTGAATTTCAGCATTTTTCTCGCCGCTTAGTTGTTGAATGGATTGCTGCAAGCGTTTCTCTAACGAAATGCGAATCTTTTCCCTTTCTTCAGTGAGTTTTTTAACATTCTCTTCATTTTGTTGACGCAGCTTGTCTACGGTTTGTTTAAATTCAAGTTCTTTATTGCCAGCTTGATGGGACATGCTGGTTTTAATTTCGGAGCAACGCTTTTCGGATCTTTCTAAGTCTTTCGATAATTTTGCAACCTTAAATAAAAATAGATCTAGAAATCATAAGATTAAATTATAATTTTCTCGAACCTGTGATTTGAATTGTTCTTGTTTTACAAGTAATTCTTGCACGTCTTTCTCAAGCTGCATTTTTTTGTCTTCTGAAGCTTCTAAGTTTGTTTGAGTATCAAACAATACAGCTTCTAAAGCTTCTTTCTCTGATCTCACTGCTGCCATTAGTTCTTGCATTCGTTGGATTTCTTTGTCCATTGCATCAATAGTACACTATAAGTTAAAATTAAAAATATACCTAATTTTCAAGTAATTATTCATCTTACCTGTTTTTCTTCACATTCTTTTACTAATTCTTCTAAGTTCCTATTAATTCTAGCGTTGGTCTCATTGGCTTGTTCAAGTTTTTGTCTGCATCTCATTAATTCTTCGTTTAGACCGTCTCTTTTTCTACCCATAACAGTAAGTTGATTACTGAGGTCATTTCTATCTCTTGTAGCTTGGTTAAGTTCCATTTCAACTTTTCCTTTTTCGATTTCCAAAAACTTGCACTTTTCTGATAGAGACACTTTGTCCGATTCCAAATCCAATTTTTGCTGTTCTGCTTGAAGCAATTCTTTTCTCAAAGATTGAATATCGTTTTGGTGGTCATTGCATTGAGCTTGAAGAGCTACTTTTTCATCTCCTAGCTAGAAAATTATATTGCTAAAATTGGAATAATCAAAAATATTTGCTAAGCTTACTCTCTTTATATCATCCTGCAACTTCTTTTTGTCAATTTCCAAATTCGTAGCTATAGCTTCTTTCTTGACCAACGAATCTTGCACATTTGAACTTTCTCCAAGTATTTTGTCCAGCTGAAGTTCATATTCCAATTTGATTTTTTCCAAATTAGATATCATTGCATCTGATTCTAATTTTTGTTGTTCTAGCATATCATTAGACAAACACATTTTGTGTAACTCTTCTCTAACTGTGAGAAGTTCTTCTCTTATCCTGCTACATCTAAGAATGGAAAAATTGTTGAATAAGCAGTACTAAAAAAATTGTTCAAGGATATTTTACCTATCTTCTTCTCCTCTCAAACTAATTTCTCTCAAATCCGCTTCTTGATTGAGCCTATCAACTTCTCCTTGTAGGAACATTTTTTCTTGATAAGTAGTATCTAATTCTTTTTGTAGTTTATTATTTGCCTTAGCTAATTTTTCATAGTCTGCAAACAAAATAATTATTCATAAATCAAAATCAGTTTTAAAATATTCACCTTGGTTGAGTGAATCCAACATGGAATTCAAATCAATTCGATTCCGATCCAATTGATTTTTATCACCTTTAAGTGAGTCCATCGTTTTGACTAGTCCATCTCTCTCTTGGACAAGCTGTGAACATTGCGTGCGACAAGTGTCAAGCTGTGCCACCAGCTCCTTAGAGCGTTTCTCTAAGGCAGCCACATTACTCTCTGAGTGTTCGAATTGTTTACGAACTAACAATAGTTGCTCCTTATTAGACTGGAGCTTTACCTAAAATGAAAAAAGATGCTAAAGGATATTAGAAAATATGAATGAATTTAGTGCAGAAATAGTCTCCTTTGAAGAGACATTAACAACGACATGATATTGAAAAACAAATAATTAGTCTACTGGAAAAGCTAAAACTATAATACTTAAGTAGGGACCAAGCTTCTTGAAAAATCAAAAAGATCTACTGAGATCTGTTAATATACAAGTTAATTCATAGTTTTTTTATTATAGGAATCCAACCAGAATAAGACAATCCAAGTGCTTATATCAAACAAAAAGTGTTGTGCGAGATATATCCAGAGTTCCAAAAAAAGTGCCATATTCAAGTGAATAATAGATCCAGAATCACTACGTGATGCTAAGGAAATGATGTGTGTGTAGCCTGTAGCTATAGTAGTTTACCTGTAGTTCATGAATAAATGATTGATATTTGTGAAGCGCTGCTTGTACTGCTGAAATAGTACTTTCAGCGAAAGCTGCTGGAGCGGCCATACTACGGCCTGATCTCCTCGGTGATCTATAACGGCGACAAATCAGAATATGTATAAATGAGAAAAAAAAAACTTATGCCAGGCGTTAACAATTTATTATTAAACACCCGGTATAAATTTTGCAAAATTATGAGTGGTCCAGGTTCTTACTTTTGTGGTATTGGTGTGGAGGCGCTAAGATGTAAATGCGTCGCTTGTAAAAGTTCGGAGTCTTTAGTATCAGCGTCTTGAATAAGAGCTTGCGCAATGTCTCTAAGAGCACCTTCCAGTATGTCGACTTCTTCTTGCATTTTCATTACTTGTGAAACATTTTGGTCAGATTCTACGCATCTGTCTTCCTGAAAATGTCATCAGAGTAGGTATGTATTAATTTAAACTAAATTATTCTTTTAAAATTCACCAAAGTTTGCATGTCTAACAAAAGTTGTTGAATTCGGTCATCTTTCATTTGCAAGTCGGTTTCCAATTTTATTTTTTCCATTTTGAGGGCTTCAATGTCAGATTCGACTTTTAGTGAGGTTTGGCTGTCTTCTAAGAATTGAACACCTTTGGCCTAAACAAAATTTTCATATTTTTCAATTTTTGTTAGTAGAAAATCTACTTACACCAGTGATATTTTCTGCAAAAACATTTGTATCCATTCTGGAACATGCCATGAGCATTTCCCTGCCCATATTCGAGACTTCACCTCTTAATTTTTGTAAGTCTCTTTCTGTACAAGATTGGACGTCCATAAAGTGTCTTTTAACAGAAACTACGTCTCTCCATAGATTTAATAATCTATTATGTTCAGTACTAAAAGAGACAATTTAAAACTGTAACGTCGTAGTAGTTCTGGATATTTTACCTGTAGTAGTCATTAAAAGCCTGTTCTTCATCCTTCCATTCGTCTTCTTTTAGAAGCATTTCTTCTCTGAGCGATTCAAAATCGTTGGTCAGTTTTTGTAAATCGGCAGTGAGCGTTTCGTTAGTATTGTGCGATTCTTCTAATTGTTCTCTTAATAGTTTATTTAATTGCATTAGTTTTTCAGATCTAAAACCCAATCGATTAATATGAGATTTGGCAAAAATATGGTTTACTTTTTGCGTTCCTCGTGCAGTCTTTGTAGGGCAGTGTCAAGGTCCGTAATCCGTTCCTCTCGGATATCCCGTAAATGTTGCTGAGCTTGTTCCAGAGCCGAACTGGATAATACGGATGGTACTGATGGCACTGTGGCAGTGGTAGGTAATGAGGGGTATTTTAATGACGATGGCTGATCGGAATACTCCGCCATTTGAGCTTCGAGGTCTGTGCATCTTTGTTTGTACTGTAATACCTGGAAAAATTTAAAAAAATTTAATAAGTGTAAATCAATATTGTATTGCGAAGGTGCGTCCAGGGGATATCGATGGCTAGGCTATACTATACTTATTTATTCTTTGTTGAAAATGCTGATGAGTATAATATAGGACTAGGAACACAAATTAGTGGCACAAATCACCTACATAGATGCGAAAGAGCGGTGAATTCGTGCTCCAAGGTTATATGTAAACACCATAGGCTGGAACACGCTCACGCACTATAAAATGATCGGCCGCGTTAATAATTGTCCTGACGCGGACGATCCTTGACATGCGGTAAGGGAGCCGGCTTCCCTGGTTTCGTATCTTTGAATCGTCGACGGCAAGGATACTTACTTACGCATCTGTATTTAGGTGATCTGTGGTAGTGGATTAAGAAGAAATAACTTTACACAGGACAATTTAGGGTAATTTTGGACAAAATTTTAGCAAGTGAATGGCATAAAAATTTTGAATCTAAAACTATTTTTAAATTTTTGTAGTTTATTCATTCACTATCCCCATTGTGAACATTTATTGCAGAAACCTCAACAAAGATTTCTGTTGATTATGGCTATACGTTTTCAAGCCAGGGCTGCCGCGAACGATTTTGATAGCGTACTGAATATTGAACAGAAATTGTACTGAATCTGAAAAAAATTATACTGAATGGCGGCAAATTCAAAAATTGAAATGTATACAAGTGGTTTTATATAGATCTATGTAAAAGTGGATGTTGGATGTATAGATCTATATATAGATCGATGGTAGTTTGAAATGAAATTTTGCATAATTCATTAATTTGTCTATAAATCTAGCTAAATGAGGTCAATGGCAACTCGGGATTCCCAAAAACATAACCTGAATAAATGAACTATAGCTGATCAGCTCAATCCAAAGCACTTTTGCAGTGCACGAGTTCATTTGGCTTGAAATCTCTGTGACGTCACGTTACTCTGACTGCTCGATTTGGATTATTTATGACTTGAAACAATAATTTATTTCAAAAAATGAATACAATTATTATTATAAATAGTGTTTCTTCTTATTTAACAAATACAATTTGAAGTTAAAATTTCGTACTGAAATTGGTTGGTTTTTCAGAAGGTTGTACTGACGTACTGAATTAGCTCATTTTGTACTGAGTTCAGTACAATTGTACCGAAACGGCAGCCTTGTTTCAAGCAGTTAGAGAGGATAAGGACTGAAAATCATATACTGTGTAGGTAGGTAATACCAAGTCAATCATCCAGAGTCCAGGCTTATTTTACTAACCTTGGCTTGTAAACGACTAACCAGGGCCGCCTGATTCTGCTGAGCCTGTCTGTAAGTCTCCAAACGTCGTCGGTACAAGGAGGCCTCATCCTGTAAACGTTGCCTCAGGTCCTGCTGTTGACGTGTTAGGTCTTCGTCACTGCTGCCGCCGCCGCCGTCACCGCGCAGACGACCTGCATCTGTCCGACTGCCACTGGCTGTACTTGACTGAAAAAGAAAAAAAACCTGTAGCGATTGTGACTCCAGAATCAGAGTTGGAAAAATCCAAACTTAGCTCTAATGCTAAAACTTTTGGGACAGGGCACCATAATCTTCGCTAGTCAACCTTGGCATGGTGTTATTGAACATGTATCAAAGACAATTCAAAGTCAGTTCAGTTTATCATAAGAAAAAAAAGAGAATTATATGAAAACCAGAAAAATGCATACATTGAGTGTGCACATTTGAAACAAGGAAACTAGAATAAAAGAGATGAAAGAAGTATGCTGAGAAAGATTCATAAAAGTGATGGAAAGAGATAATATGTGGGAGAACCAGAGAAAGATATGGGGATTGTCGAGAAGTAATAAATCACAAATTATTAAAAGATACTGCACAGTAACAACTCAACGTCATGATACAGAACCAAAATTCTACCAATCCCTTGATCAGGGATTCTCATATCCCAGATCCCAGCCCAGCCGGGATCAAGACATTCCACCCAGGGAACTAAATCTGAGGTAGTCCACTCAAAGATCCGACATGCAGGATCACCACAAACTCTATCAGGACCTAGGATTCCAGAATATGCACTTGGGTAAATATAAGAACATAAAATTTACATAAATGTTTTCCCAATCAGAAAAATTAATGCCCTTTAAACAAGATAAAGAAAAACTAGATATGAAACACTCTCAAATATCTTAAACATCAAATCAAATCAAAAACATGAAGATCAGTGTTTGTTTAGTATCATACCATGTTTGTTTTACATTTATTTCGGTAGTATTAAGAATTTATATTGGATTTGATGATAATAAGATTGTATTGGTCTTTGTTCAATAAAGCTGTTTTTGATTTGATTGATAAAAATAGAAAATGGCCAGGCTCATCAGGCGACGTAACAATGCTGGAAAAGGAGGAAGAAGCTTATAGAAGGAAATACTCTTTCCAGAAACATCATAGCAGAGAAGAACGTAGGAAAATGCAGCATAAGGATTCCGGGTATTGCACGCTTAAAGCATTCACTAAAACAATTTTAGAGGAAATTTGTGAAACAATACGAATTTACGACAAACAGTAAAGGCGAGTTTAAACAACTTCATAACTTTAATTTAGTGCGTAATTCACAATTTAGTGCATAAGCTTTAAAGTTAAATTTATTATTTTCTATGGAAGCGTTTAACCATCTATTTAATGCTCAATTCATAATTTAGTTCATAATGGATATTCTTGAAAGTTCCCAACTTTTAACTTTTATGCATTAAATTATGAAAAAACTGGACCTTTCGAGTTCTGTCAGTGTCAAATTTCAAAATATCAATAGAATATTAATGACATTTCAAAAATTATGTATTAAATTATGAAGTTGTTTAAACTAGGGTTTTGAGTTATGTATTAAATTACGCATTAAATTATGAAAAAATTACGACTTAAATTTATCAAGAGTTGTTTAAATCCGCCTTAAGGTTTTAGATCCACCATTGACAATCTTTATTGTGACATAAGTAGCAGCAGTGTTGTCGAAGCCACCGAAATTTCGGTATTTCTACCGAAATAGTAACGGACCTACCGAAATACCGACTACTGATGAGTTTTTACCGATTTTCGACAATAATTACGATTCTACCGATTTTTTCACCGTTTTTCTGCCAAAAAATCAATTTTATCGGTTTTGTTTACGCCGATTTTTCTATCGACAACCGCACCCGATCTACTATTGAAATGTTTGTCTATATCAGAGCTGTCAGATGTCAAATAGATCCTCCGACAACTGTTAGCAATGGTTGGTATCTCAGAGGTTGGTATCAGTATCAGTGCGTTTGTTTCGAGGAATTCGCGTAGGTCCTGTCATATCCGAATTTGTTTTTATTATATTGTCATTGCCCCATTCTTCCGCCAATGTTGAGCGCACATTCTCAACAATAAATCGAATGAAAACAGCACATAGAAATAGACTTTCCACGGAAACAATCACTGGGCTTTTACATACTCAACCAAATAAAAAACTAAAAGCAAAACACGGCTGTATTTTAGTCTTTATGTTATACCCATTGCTTATACCCAAGGATATACACACTATTACTGCAGGATAGCCTATCCTCATATGATCTGTGTAGAACAAATCTGAAGCCCCCCACTCTTGCCCCCACTACGCCAAATCACCAGTTGTGACGTAGGCAGCACGTCGTTTGTCGTCTTGACCTAGACTGTTCGCATCACAGGTTATGATTACGCGGTCTTTCGCTTTATGCATACTCGATCTTACTACATTAATAATGATTAACATTAACAACTCCTGTTTAGATCTCGTTTGCATCTTCCTCTTTGCCTATTAAGGCCGTTTTACAGAAACTTGCAATTCTATCGGCAATATGCAAGAAACTTGAACGGGGGCATGCGCAGAAGTGAGTCAGCTGATTGGTTTCTGCAAGATTCTTGAAACTTGAATGGCATTGCATGCAATCGGTTTGGTGCCATTTTTCTTGAAGGTTTTCGTGAAAGCTTGCGAATTTTCAGCAATTATGATGTTTAAAGTTGCTGCTATTGCTTTCTTCTTTTTATATCAACGTATAAACACTTTTTTTATTTTTGGAAAATGCAAACATCTACAACACAATAAGTATTAAAAACAAAAAAGTATAGTTAAGGTTAGAGAAGGAAACAAGTCAAATTGCAAGGTGTAAAACGATGTGCAAGAAATCCTGGACGCAATTTTTTTGCATGCAACAAATTGCATTCAAGTTTTCTTGCAAGCTGTAAAACTGCCTTTATGTTAATCAAAATTAAATGATATTTTTCATCATAAATTTAAATTCTAAACTAGGACCGCTGGCGCAAACAGCTGACGATTTACTGAATGACGTTGGCAATGGTGATACACCAATATGGCCGTGATTACCGAAAACGAGGCCGATAAGCAATCTTTAGTAGTGTGTATTATCCTTGTGTTATACCTACCGATTTTGCGCAGTAATCTACCGATTTTCAACGCTAGTTTCTCCCGATTTAGTATTTTGACGTTCGACAACACTGAGAATAATAAGTACCTACCTAAGTCAAGTAGTGATACATTAATTAACTGAAAAAGTACCTACAAATGCGCACAGAAATAAGGGAAGGCTGAGCCCATTCATATTTACCATGATTATGAAAACCTACTTAACCCGGCGCCCGACACGTGGGATTCAGACACGTGGTGTGTGATAACCCCATTAAAAAAATCATCTTGAATATGGTCGTATTTACATTTTTTTATTGCAAACTTTCATATGATTATTTTCAATTTTACTTACAAAATAAAGACGGTCTATGGAAATAAAAGTTTATTATAAAAAAATAACATTTTTAGCTTCCTAGATAGGACATTTTTGAATCGTGAAAAATTATCCGTAATTTTAAAGCTCTCGTGGTATTATGTGGTATTATCCCCGAAAAATGATATCAAAACCTGAAAAAATGTCTAGATTTATTAAAATGAATTCATGGTTTGAAATGACAATGACAATCATTAATTAGGTAGGTAGTTATTTATCTAGGAAGCGTCATGTCAAAAATTTGACATCTGGTTTTCCTACAAACAACTCGTTGTAAGATGTCAGAAGAAAATGCAATAGTTATTTACCTAACAAATGCGGAAAGTGATACTTTACCGCACGCAACGAAGCGGAGTTCGGTCAAGCCGTTAAGGGCGGTAAAGCCACTTTCCGCATGTGTTAGGTACAAAATTTTACCTATGAGCATACTACTTCAAAAAAAGGCATTGATAAAATTGATTAATGAATCAGATTAATTAATGAAATAAGATAAAATTTAGAAATGATCAAAAATCCATTTTCTGAATAAGAGAGGATTTTTGATTATAAATATCAAATTCTACTTTACCGCACACTATGCGGTAAAGTGCACTTTACCGCACACGTTTTGTTCTACTTTACCGCATACTATGCTGTAAAGTTGACTTTACCGCATACTATGCTGTAAAGTTGACTTTACCGCACACTATGCGGTAAAGTGCACTTTAACTTTACCGCATAGTGTGCGGTAAAGTGATACTTTCCATTTGCAAATACACGTGCGGTAAAGTGCACTTTACCGCACGCTCGTAGGTAAAAAATAAAAAAGATTTCTATATAGTGATATGATTCATTAAAAGGAAAATATCATTGATTGTTTTTGATTATTGAACAGTAGTGTTCACAAATAGTTATTTGTTTTACTAGGCAGAAAAGTACAAGATTTAATGCCGCGGCTGGTGTTTCATAGCCGAGGCTAGGAAACCAGCCGAGGCATTAAATCTACTTTTCTGCCATGTAAAACATATAATTTTTTCTCCGAATGTTCAAATTCACACATGGACATCTTTTTTATATTTATTTCATTCATTATTATTATCCAAATAATTAAATTATTTTGACAATTGTCATTGTCACCATCAATTTCAAATACCAAATTGAGTGAAATTATTACTTGGAACATTGTGACACTGTCAGTTTTAATGGCTAGGCAGTAAAAGTCCACTTTTACTGCCTAGGCAGTAAAAATACAACTTTTGGTCCTGTCAAGTGTCATTAAAAGTCCGCTTTTACTGTCATTCGGAGAAAAACATTATTGCATGCTTACGGTATATGAACTTTTCACAACCGCGGCACACATATTTTGATTCTGTCTTTGGCACGGGGACAAATTGAGTTGAATTCCTGGTCTGGTCTCTTTTTTTTACAGGTGGTTCTGGATTTTATCCCATAAAGTTTGAGATGGTGGCCCCTCAACTCTCGCGTGATTCCGGGATTTCCCATCCGGCTTCTTTGGTGTCCCTCCACTAATTGAATTCCCAACTCCTTGAGAAAATGTCTTCTCTGCATTTTTACTCCGTTATTATTCTGTCTATGTATAATTTGGCTGCTGATTCCAGCAGAGTTGAGTAGAGAGAAAAAGTGTTAGAAGCCATCGTCGACTGCTCCGGGATACATTATATTATGAGGCTGAAAGCTCATCGACCACATCTACTCCGCATTTAGCAAAATTATGAAATTAAATTATTTCTGGAAGCTTTTTATCTGTGTCATCAAAGGTATCATCGTAATGCATGGAAGACAGCAAAAGAACGATTTTACCTTTTTTTGGGCTGTAGGATAGATGCATATTTTCTTTTTGGAAACCGAACAGAGATGAAGATATCTATCTTTCCTCAACGTTCAGAAACTCAGGTGGGAGAATGGGCTTGTTCTTTCTGATGTCCCGACTGCAGTGAGTTTGTGCTTATGACGAAGATTATTCGTAAGGTCTAGACTGGTATAGCAGGTTGTCAAACGTGATATTGCGTTTCGTTCCTGACACAGGGACCACTAAACGATCCACTATATCCTTGGGGGTGTTGCTAAGTCTGAACGGCCCTTCGGGTTGCTGACCGACATAAACTTCCATATTCAAAAGATAGTAGGTTCTCGCATCTACCAATGCATGCACCTTTATGCCATAGTCCGCAGGTTTATTTGGCATATATTGCCTAAAAGAGCATCTATCGCGAAAATACTCCAGTTTCCCGTCTATCGTAAGATACTCAGAAGGTGAATAAGCGGCTTGACAGTTTTTAATAAACCTAACACAAATGGATTTTATGTGTGCCAGCTTATCGAGTTTCAATCTCTCAGTACGATTGCCCTTGTAGTCAAATCGCAAGCATGATACTAAGAATTCAAAGCGCCTTATTGCCATTGTACTGCGGAAGATATCCATTCCGGTTCCATCGGTTTTCCAAAGTTCATATAAATTTCGATGATTACCCACTTTTGAACACTTCCGATAGAAAAAGAAGTCTAAAAACGCTTTGAGTTCTGTAACGGATGTAACGCCATAATGTGGAGCGCTTTTCCACTTTTCAGATTTCTCCAGGATTCTTAGATTTGTAGTTTCAACGATATCTGTGATAAGTTGCTCGGAAGGACAAGGAGGAAGGTGTAAAAAGAAGCTACTCAGGCGCTGAAGGCCAAGGGCGGCAAATTAAAAAAAAAAAACTTGCAATCAGAAGATGAATGGGGTGTGTCATGCCCCACGTGTCGTGCGCCAAGTTAAAGTAGCAAGCTACAAAATGGAAAACACCTACTTCAATGATGTTTGCTACGCTGATGATGCCGTAATTATCAACTTATCGTTGATTCAGAAGACGGCCTAGAGAAACTAATCTATTCCTTGAATCAAACAGTACAACAATTAAATACAAAAGTCTAGTAAAATCTAAGGACCCGACAAGATGCGAATTAAAGATCGATGAGAAGATTGTTGAGCAAGTATATCACTTCATATATTTAAGCGCTGAATAACAAGCTCTGGAAATTTACAGAAATATGTCAGAGAACAAACGATGAAAGCATCTGGAATCTCAGGATGCCTTTAGCAGAAATATCATATGGAGGAATGAAAATATCCCAACACAGGTAGGAAAGAAAATTTCAATATATAAGATAGCAATTAGAGTAATCACAACATACGGTGCTGAGAAAGACACAGCAAATGCTGCGAACGGAGGAAATAATAGGAAGTATTCATGGGAAAACATAACAAAGCAGAATTAGAAGTGAAAACCTTCGGCGAGAGAATAAGATACAAGACATCAGAGGGTCCTTATTCTTGAAACAGGGGAGCAGCGTTCCCAAGAGAACGAGTGTTCTGTCTTTGTTACTTAAATTATCAATAGTAATATAACTAGTGCAATGGAAATTATTGATAATTTTTGTGCCTTTTTCAGTTAAAAACGCATGAGTGCAAATTTGTCGAAAATTATAAATATATTTCCATTGCACGAGTTGTATTTAATGAGAGAATTTCATAAATCAAAAATTTAAATTTTTTGTCAAAAAATGTCAAAACACCAGTTTTCGCACCAGTTAGTATGCAATTATCTGATAATTTGCACTAGCGCAAATTATCGCGTAATTACAATCTGATTGGTTCAAATCAACAATCAAAACATGTCAATTTATTGTTGGAATACCAGTTTTGACAGATGTATGAAATTCTCATTTGTATATCATTGAGAAAGACGGCAAACTCGTTCTCCTGGGAACGTTGCTCCCCTGTTTCAAGAATGAGGACCCAGAGACATAACGAAGAAAATAGGTAGTTATGGCCATGGGACTGGATTTATATAATAATGCAGTAATAATGAATAATATAAAAATAAGTAAGGTCCGTTTCACCAGGGTTCATACTTGACCTTGAAACTTGAAAAAAAGGGTTGTCGTAGATTGATTCATATGACACATGCAATTTTTTTGACAAATTAAAATGAATGACTTTTGGTTAAGAACCGACAAACGTTTTTGACGTCATTGATTTATTTCAGTCAATTTTGATTTGTTAATCAAGGAAGGTAAATGCTGGTGGCAACTACAAAACCCTGGCGAAACAAACTTTAGGTAATATTACTTTTATTTCCTACTGAACTATTATAACCATATAATACCTTGGTTACGATAATCATAAACAGGGACTTAAGTCCCAAGGGAGTTAAGGATTTCATAACTCCCTCGCGGGAGTTAAGGATTTCCATAACTCCCGCTTTTACCTTGAATAGGTGAAACTTTCACAAAAAATAGAAATTTTGGTTTATGGTTTAATCCTTCATAAAAATGGACAAAATACAGTAAATTCAGTAGGAAATAAAATTATCTATGTACCACGGGAATTATCAGGTGTTAATGTTAATACCCACGGGCAATTATTGGTGTCTCTCGGGCCGAAGGCCCTCGGGACACAAACTTTGCCCTGGGGTATTAACACCCTCATAATTCCCTTGATACATAAATAACTATTATTTCCTACTGAACTATTATAACTAGATCATACTTTGGTTACGATAAGCATAAACAGGGTCTTAACTCCCAAGGGAGTTAAGGATATAATAACTTCCAAGGGAGTTAAAGATTTGCATAACTCCCGCTTTTACCTTGAATAGGTGAAATTTTGACAAAAAATAGAAATTTTGGTTTGTGGTTTATTCCTTTATAAAAATGGACAAAATACAGTAAATTCAGTAAGAAATAAAATTATGTATGTACTACGAGAATTATCAGGTGTTAATGTTAATACCGACGGGCAATTATTGGTGTCTCTCGGGCCGAAAGCCCTCGGGACACAAACTTTGCCCTGGGGTATTACCACCCTCATAATTCCCTTGATACATAAATAACTATTACGTTGGATCATTATACATATATCAGATTTTGTAAAGTATTAGGTAGGTACCTATCTGAAATAATTAATAAAAATCATACTTTATCTAAAAACAAACGATATTATTCTTACATCTGTTCTGGACTTTGGCCTATAAACCGGTGGTCTCCTTCTATCCATTTTTGTAGGATCAGCCTTTTTAACTGGCGGCTGCAAAAAAAAATATTCGTTAATGCAAGTTGTTGAACTTTGCTTGTCTAGTCTACACATTTCGCACCTGATGATAAGGGAAAAAATAGACAGCCACTCAGATTTCAAAAATTTCCTAAGTAGGCCATTGCGCTTTTGCCATAATTCAAACAAACACTTAATTTATTATTATTATCGTCGGCGGTCATCGAGGTGGCTCTATTATCTCAAGGGGGACACCCCGTATAATCGGTTGTAGGTGGACTTTGAATGTACGTAATTGTCATTGATAAGCATTTTTGCACCAGACGCATTTAAGTATAATGAACAAGTAAGTTCTAAGAAATATAGTGAACTTTGTACTCAATTAAAACATTACGGATTGAGAATACAGTGGAGTAGTTTAAGTTTAGTGTAAACCTATTGGATTTGACGTTTTCTGGTGATACCACGCCAATGAGAAAATTTCAACGGAAATCCATAATTTCTTTACACTTTGGACTTATGAACTCATGAACTGGTTCAAAAAACCAATAACTACAGAAAACAAGATATTGAAAATAATATATTTGTAAAGAATGAGATTTTCTAACTAGGTTGATAATATTAAAATGACATTTTTCCAGATTAATGATGTTATAGCTAGATCACATATTAGTCATAAAAATATTGTTTGTGAACGTCGAGGTTCTACATTTCACTGAAATTATTTTTCAGGATTTGCGAATAATAAAAAATACACAATAATATACTGATAAACATACGAGTGTTGAGTGTTTGTCTTTCAACTAAATTATATTTACCATGTGTTTTATAACTATTTATTTATTCAGTAGGTCTTCACCAGGGTTATCCACCTACGTACCTATACAACTAAGATACAAAAAATTTGAATCAGTATTCCAAAAACGTAATAGGTATAGGTATATGTATTTATTTGGTCATTTATGGAATTGATGCGAAATATTTTCAAATTTTGTATGTGGAATTTATATTATGTAGTTATGTTTGGCAGTAGATAAAATTTAAAAATTTTGGTTGGACAAATACTCAGCTGCTGTGCCAAGCTGTAGTAGGCTATAGGTCACAGAAATCACAAACCAGTCAGAGTCAGAGCGTTTTTGATTCTTGCAAATTGCCAACAATCAATGAAATTCGCTCTGACTGGTTTGTGATTTCTATGATAACAGACCTTATGTATTTGAGAGACCAATATATTATATATCTTATTCTGCTTTTTTGTCTCAGGCATGGAAACGGCTAAAAAATACCCTCATAAACCAAACTAAATTTTCATTAGTCCAAATCCAAAAATGAGGGTTCGACGTGAATATTAGGGAGAACATTGTGAATAAGGATCTCTGAAGGAAGGTATAGAATAATGAGACACTTCTAAATCTGTAGTAACATCAAAATTACATCCATATTGTTATAAATAAATTGTTTTTCTCAATATATGTTTATTATTTTTTTGTTGGATCCCGCGCAATGGCGTGGGTGATAGAAATTTCCTAAAAAATCCGGATGGGCAAAGTCTCTCTCTGAAGATTCATACGAGCTGTATGTCACGTAAGAGAATGTATCGAGAGCAAACTTGATAAGATAGATAGAAATTATATGTATTTATAATTTTTTTCGTAGGTACTAAGCGAAAGCAAATTTGTTTGGTTACCAAATAAAACAATTTGTAAATTGATTTGATTTCGCACAAATTTTATCATCAATCACCAAAGCCAACTGAAGTGGGAACTTATACCTACCTATACCTGACATTTTTATAATAATAGGGACATAAAGCTACTTGAAATAATTCGCCGGTATCGGTATCGGTATCCGTAACGCAACTAGATACGTTGAGAAGCCAAAAGGCTGTTAAAGCGCTCCCTGTTCCGGTAAACGTAAACGCATCTCATAACCTAGTAATTTTCGTGTCAAAACTCCGGCGTTTTTATATAAAATTGTTATTTTTTTTGCGATAGAGAAGCACTAAACACACAAGAAACTCAAGAAAGTATAAATTAAATAAATTAAATCAACCCGGAAGAAAAGTGAGGTTATATTCATTTAAAATTTGACACATGCGTTAGGAATGTCAAGATACGTTACCGATACGGATACCGCGAGAGGGCCGTAACGTTACGTTGTACGTACGGTATCTTGGCGTCCGTATCGCTAATGCACATGCGCAGTACGATACCAATACGGATACCGACCAAAAAATACGGAAGCTTTATGTCCCTAATGCATTTGAATACTGTGTATTGTATAATCAACTATTTCCTGCCTCTATCCAGGAGGTCGATATTGGGAGAATTTTGAAAGTCTATTTGCTGCGGTAAGAAGCTTCAATGGATAAGAAAGTATCTGACGGTAGTTTTCGATTGCTATTATTTCGGTTAGAAGCTTGCATGGATAAGAGAATATCATCGAACGGTAGTTGTCGATTCCCAATTTCCTTTTTTGTATATAATGAGACTACTTGAGCATTTCCTCATATTTCTGGTATTCCACATTCTTGTAGACATTTTTTTTAAATAATTTACATGGATTCCTAGCTTGATGTGAACAACTGAAAGTACCTACCTACGTGAAGAGAAATTTCGCAGCCTTCTAGAAAAATGCATGAGAGAAGAATCAGAAGTGAATGACATAAACAACATCAATGGAAGGTTTAACATGCAACTTCTAAAAGACGGAAAGATATTCACTTAAACAAGGGAATTAATAGGGAAAAGCTTGAAATGCCTGACATTTTGGTACCGACGAAGCCTTGCGCATAAAAAATGAAGATGGAACAGAAGATATGGACAAGAACGAAATTACTTCATCTGTAGAAAGCTTCTATCATGACCTATACAGTTCTAAGGAATACAGAATATGTAGGGTTCCAAAAATATATCAAATATCGAAGAATTTGAAACCCATCGGCAATTGATGATCTGAAAAACAACAACCCACCAGAAGAAGATGGAGTGACAGCTGATATGCGGAAAGAAGGAAAATATGCTATCCTATCAATACTGCAGGACCAGTTTATCAGTGGACGGTTATTTAGTTTAGCTGTCACTATAACTATTAATCTATAACCGACAGCTAAACTAAATAACCGTTCACTATGATAAACTAGTCCTGAGAAGACTATATGTCTAACATGTGGAAATATCAGAAAAATGGAATAATAGCCTCGTAGGTCTATATTTCAAAAACGGTGATAGCATACGAACATAAGAAACCATGGTCCCATCCCAAGTACCTACCACCATAAAAGGCTAACGAATATTATTTTTCTTCTTATCCCTCTCTAGAGAAAGCAATTAACCACTCTCGAATTGACTCGATACGATACAGACTGCTGCATCTACAGGAATGCCACATTGACTGTACAGCTTAAGAAGAATCCCATTCCAATCGAGAAATTTGCGTATCACCGAAACTTTTCACGCTGGCAATGAAGAATATGTTCTCGAAACTGGTCTAGACATGATATAAATATAAACGATCAACTAATCTACGGTTCGCAGGCGACATTAAACCCATTTCCAAAGTTTAGAAAAGCTATAAATGATGACGATGACTAATCAGTTGGCATGAGCTTCAGAGGAAGAGATAGGCTTGATGAATACCGAGATGATGAATATTCATGACGAAAGTGATGACAGATAACGACAATGAAGAAAGAAAACCTGTTCTTTTTGGGCTGCGGAAATCGCACTATCATGGGAAAGTTTTGGTCAAATTTTATGGATCCCAAAGATTCCACTTTACCTGAGGTTAGTTTAGGTTTCTTGTGAGTGTTCCGATTTCGTCCCCTCCACTGCGACCTGCGGTCTATGGTGGTTCACTCCGAGTTTATATTTCGCTCATCAGACCAGCCCTTCTAATGAAGGTGGAAATAAGTGTAGGGGAAGCATGCTTTATATATTCGGATCGAACAGCTGACTCCCCGAAAACAGCGTGCCTGATTCTAGCTATTGCCGGACACGTACATAGAACATGTTCTGCAGTTTCGTCCTCTTCTATGCACAGGCGACAATCGGCACTTTGTGCTTTTCCGATCCTGTGCATGTGATACTGGAATCTGCACTGCAGCGTGCAGTGTACAGATGCACCAGTCCTTTGAGGCTCTTCCTCCCCATTTCCAGAAGTATGCCTGGTAACCTCGACCAATATTGGAGATTGGGCGGTTGGCCGTGAGATGATGCTGTTTTCTCCTAGCTGGGCCAGATCCTATTTGCAGTTCCATACTGTTTTTGACGTGCAATGTAAAGTACGTCGATTTTAATCTGATACTCGAAAGGAATGTGAGCTGGTGGCACCCTACATTAGAAAGCCAATGGTCACCTGTCGTCACACCTGTTTTTGCCATATACTTTACCTCCTCGCTCCTCATACGGAAAGTGACAGATCAAAAACGACGGACGATATGGACAAAGTTTACATGGATGCCTCCTTGCCACACAACCAATGCCTAATACCTATAACGACAGAGATATTCCAAGGAACAATGTCTAGACACTATCTTCCAAGGCCAATAAGCAAATAATGTTGAATGTGACACCCTCCGACAAAAAGAGAAACACTTGGATAAGAACGAGAACTTGGTTAGAGAACGTGGCATCGAAAGTAAAGCATCTAGAATGGATTTTCGCAAGACACCTTGCAAGATAGAAAGTTCACAGATGGAACTCGGAACTTATAAATGCGACAACTGAATGAACCTGTGTGGAAGGAATGCGGGCAAAACCCTCCTGATTGGTGCGAGATTAAATATACATATAAGCGGGTCGTCGCGTCAGGGTAACCGCAATTTTCGCAATGCACCACGTCGGGGACTCGTCGCGTCGTATAGTATAGGTTTTCGTCTTCCCCTCTGCTACTTCATACGTTACACAGGTTCACTCAGTTGTCGCACTTTACAATAGGTAGAATATGCTGGGTGCAGTCAGGGGCGCCGACTACCCACGAGGCGTAAACAGTGGGTGCGGAGCACCCACGAACATAGACATAAAAACTGATAATCC